GATTGATCACTACCAAAAACTCTACACCTTATCTCATACATATGGTTTTCGTCTCTCTCTCTCTCTCTTAACCTACCAAAGGGGGCACACCCCACTTAGGATATCTCTCTCTCCTATAGAAACTCTCTCTCTCTTGAAAGTCCTAAAGGGGGCATGCCCCACTCTCTCTCATCTTATGGTTCTCTCTCACAGTATCTCTCATGATATCTCCTCTCTCTTTGGGGTTTAGACTATAAGGTTGTGGTAGAAAAGAAAAACATCACTCTATCAGAGTAGGTTGTTAAGGGGATTCACTTAGTATTTGAGTTTGTGTATAAAGGGGTTCATGTTCCATTGGTGTGGTTTGTCCAAACATGCGTTCCCAGTTGAGATTGAAGGTTGAAAATTAGCTCCCACGCCTTCGGAAGGTGATGACTCGGTGTGGGGTGTAAGAAACACGGTTGAGATAATTTTTGGCGCCTTGTTTTGTTTCTTCCATGTTTTTTTATTATATATTTTATTCCCAAGCATAGGTTGTGTCTTTTCTTTGTTAATGAAAAATGTGGTTTTGAATGGCTTCAAGTTCTTGAGATCCTATTTTATTCTTTTCTTTTGTTTTATTTGAAGTTGTAATATTGTAAAAAGGATTTCTTGTGAATGATCTAGACCGTGAAGAAAAGAAAATAATTGAAAAAGAAATAAAGAAAATTATTATATACTCCGGCTAGATCACAGGTGTCATTTCATTTAGGAACTCAAAATCACTTTTTTTGTTCCTTTTTAACATTGTTAATTGATTGATTACAAAGCCATATATAGAATTAGAAAAAGAAAAAGGACACTTCTGAAGCTTAGATCTAAGCATTTTACAAAATAAATGGAGCTTAGGCGGGTTAAGAAACATACGTTTGAGCATGAATTTTTTATTTTTATTTATTTATTTTGTGATTATTCATCCAAATGAAAAAGCTATATGTTTAAAATGTGGGGTCAAACAAATGGCCCTAGCATAGTTTTTGAAGATTTTGATGGGTGTATTTATTAAAAAAATAATTATTTTTGTTTAATTCTTTTTCAAATTTTCACAAAAGTACAATTGTATGTCCAATAATTTTATTAGTCAATAGTCTTGTCCTTTAGTGAAACTTCAACTTTGCCTTTCTAAAGATCACAAAAATACCCCTTGCCTTGCAGTTATAATTATATGTTCACAATTGATTGATGAGCAAACTACTATAAAAAAAATAATTTTTTTTTAAAAAAACCACATAATAAGTAAATATACCATTCATAGCCCATTCTAATATTACTACTTGCATTTGAAGAGTTGCGAATGGTAGATTATCTCATATATGTGAATGTGTGTGTGTAAGTAGAGAAGGCATGGCTGATTGAAGAACAAAGGATAAATAAAAAGCAAAATTCGCTAAATGGTTGTATATCTATTTGAGTATGCATAAAATTGCCATATGATAGCTAATAATGGAAATTAATATTTGTTGAACAATTTCAATCAGTATCTAGAAAAATGGATCAGGAGGGTAAGTCAGTCCCCTGCTTGATTGATCTAAATGACTGATCCATGCAGGTGCATACTGATTCTCTAGTGTGGGAATTGGTAGCAAAATAATTTAATTAGTAATTTTAATTAAATTATTAATTAAAAAAATTCTCTAGTGTGGGAATTGACCGAGGCCACTTCAATGATGGTAAAAAAAAATTACACTCCCATCCTTCTTTCTTTTTTTCTTTTTTTTGGTTAGGTTTTTTTCACCTTTTTTCATGTTTTTGTATTTTTATTTTTGTTAGGGCGATTTCTATCTTTTGATGAAAGTGGGTAAGATTTTGGGCTTTAAAAACCATTTTTTAGAGGGGATCGTATACAACGAGACCATTTACTTCTAATACAAGGTGGTCACAATTACTTACAACCATTTGACGACAAATTTGTTAGTTTTGATGTGTCACGAACTTCGAGAATATTTCTTTTAAAGTTCGAGCTAAGTCAATAAAATAATTACAGTCACCCAGTTTCACATTCAATGGTCAAGATTAATATGACCACCTTGTACCAAAGCTATATGGTCTCATTCTATACTTTCCCTTTTTAGAGAGAGTAAGAACCTTTTACAAGTTTTCTCATGCTCTCTACCTAAAAACACCCCAACCCTAGCTCTAGTTTTGGGCAACTTTCGTGGTGGATTCTGGCCATCATCCCAATTTGAAGCCCGAAGTCTTTTACACCCGATTTCAGTTTTTTTTAGGGTTTTTGCTATATACATTTTTTTGTCTTTTTTGAATCAGTAAAATTAATTCTTTTTTTGGTTTCTTGTTAACGGTTTTATCTTTATTAAGTTTATTATTGTATGTTTTTACCTTTTAGGAAGACCTATCGGCATTTTTTAAGACAAGTTTACTATTGTATGTTTTTACCTTCTAGGAAGACCAATCAGCATTTTTTAAAACAAATGTTAGGATTATAAGGTTTTTATATTCATTTATTTTTATAAGTTCAATTTCAATTTCAAATAGGAGGTCTTTTCAATCCTAGGATATAACAAAGGAAAAAGAAAAAAGAACCACATTTACTCCCAAAATACCTTTCACATATAAAAATCATGTTTCTCAGTTTCCATTGCATATGTTACTACAATCTTCTTTGGTCGTTATAAATTAATTCCATTCATGCATCCTTCTTTATTTTCAATTGCAGGAAAATCACAATTCCGGCATCAGAAAATTTTAAATCGATCATCTCAACCTTGGCCATTATGGTAAAAATTAGGATTTCAAGCCCTAAAAATAGTATATATTGTGACCAATTATCTAGATGGATTCATTTTGCCCTAAAAATAAGTGCTCATGGATCCATAAGATCTGTGTTATTTTTTGAGTTTCAAATTTCATAGTCAATATTAGAAATTGATTTTATAGCCATCATAGATATTTTCGGTGCCCAAAGTGATTTTTACACGAAGATTTGTAGTGAGGCTATACTTTATGTTCATAATGCCTAGGCCTTCCAAAAATTGCCTCCAATATAAAATTTAGAACGGACCTAGAAACTTAGATTGATTAAGACTTCACCTTGTATTAAGATAAAAAAAAACATAATGTTTATTGAAAAAAAAAAAAGGACAAGCTTTCTATGCTTCCCCAACAACATAAAACTTATATACATCCCCTTCCATTTTGAATGGAGGGCTAAGATTGTCCCAATCACAATGTCACGTTTCTACACTATTTTATTTTTACTCTTTTTATGTAAATTATTTTCACACCAAATTTTGGGTGTCCAATCCTCTATTAAACACGTACTTGTAAAAAAAATATTAAAATAATGTTCCCAATAAAATAAAATGACCAAAATACCCCTAAAAGATTCAAGGGGTATTTTGGTCATTATATTTTATTAAAAAATTATTTTTTATAGGTGTTCCCCAATGAGAAGATGACCCATACCAAATTTTATATTCATGCAATTTGTATAAAAAAAAAAAAAAAATAACTCTAAGGCATCAGAACTAAAATCAAACAGAGTGGCTTACTTGATCAAAATTGGACGGCTGGATAGATCTTCTATGCTATAGAAGAAGTATAGAAACCTTTCCCAAAAAACAAAGAAGATAAAAAAACATAATGCAGTTTGAAAGTTGTCACATTTTAAAGCTCAGACACGCTTAATTGTTAAGACTCTAAACTATCAAGTAATTAGTTATTCATTTCCCTATATTAATATTTCTAATGATATTTGAGGATCAAGTACGGTGGCATTTGAATAACTTCAGTATAGGAATGCCGGTGTACTTTAACCACTACAACCACTTGGAGAGAATGATATGTGAGATTAAAATCTTATGCTTAACTCAATCCATGTGTTTTCAACATGTTGGAAGATGTCAATACTGACTTAGTAGCTAATGGAGGTATTTTTTTGTAATTTTGTTTTTCGGTAATTCGTTAATGGAGGTATTTTTTTGTAATTTTGTTTTTCGCTAATTCGTTAATGGAGGTATTGAGTATGGTCCTTTGATTTTAGAGGAGTTTCTAATTAAGGTCACTGAGATACCGCCTTGCTATCTTTTCGACATTGTTGTCCATCTGTTTTATACTTATATGAATAGAACTTAAAAAAAAAAAAGTCTACAAGAAAAGAGAGAAAACACCGGTCGCGCATGCAAATCCCTCCTTGAAGATTCTGAGCTAATGGGTCGGTTATCATAGTCCTATTAATGCAACTTTAAGTCTATACATTCTTAGTTTTGTATAGAATATTTCTAAAAGGATATATAGATATTAACTTGAAAAACATAAGAAGATATTGTTTGGGTAAACCTCAAAAAATTTCTAAACATATAAAAAATTACACAATAAACATCTATTCTTTTAGTTAAGGGATATGATATTATGTTCTACTAGGGCACCATAAATGCGCCTTTGCCACCGCAAAAACCACTTTTGAGGTTTCAGGCACCTAAATCAATTGGGGACTCCCTTAGAATTAGGGGAATCTAAGTTTGATTTAGTTTACCTCCAAATCTCCTCAAATATATTCCAATAATGGAACTGATAGTTGAAATTTCATTCAGAATTGTAAAAATTTGAGGCATTTATGGGGCTCCAAATGCATGTTTTTCATGAATCTTAATTATTATTATTTTTCTATGCGAGAGTGTTTTAGAAATATTTTGGGTCCCCTACCTAGCTTAAAAGTGGTATTTTAGGTGGGCAAAGAAATAAGTTTGGTGCCCCAGATGAAACACACTATTATTTCCCTTAAACCACCCAAAACTGGTTCAAGGAATTGCAACAAAGTTACGTTTTTTTTTTTTGTGGATCAATGGGATTACAGGCTCCTATCTATTTTGACAAGATTCAATATTTTGAAATTGTTAGTGAGAATGGGGGCCGGGACCTCTACTTGGAGCTTAGGTGGTGCTACCACCCTGACCCAACCCCATTCTCACTAGTCTACTTCAGGCTTCCATTGAAAATCTCTCGTCAATCTAAATATGACTCACATAGCAGTAGATTTCCCGAATGCGATGATATCCATTTGCATTTTCCGAAACTCCTACATCATTTGTTTCTAAAAAGTCAACTTCGTACCCATTCTCGTCACAACCGTAATACATTTGAACTCTTTCCTCCGCATTGCGAGTACTTCTGTTGATGCCCATCTCAAAGTGGCAATATGGGAAAAGAACATGTTCAAGATTTATCCCACCAGTATTCTACAACACAATATATGGAAGGGTAACTCACCTAAATCATGATAAATTTGATATAAAAATACAAAGTTAAAATTTGTACATTACCTTCTTAAAAGGTTCCATATTCCTCAGACAATCTGGGTGGATGGAGTTCCAATAATTCCCTAGACATGATATTCTTAAATCTTCATATAGTTTATTTGAAATGAGTCCCATTCGATGAGCAAATGGAACCCTAGATTCTAAAAGGATATCATAATCTGCAAGCTCATTGCCGACAGAGTAGCCCTGGAACACCAACAAACAAGAAAATGAATTAGAATCCAAATTACATTGTAGAATGCTTATATATAACCATCTACTTTTGGTTACTGCATTGTTATTTGTGAGCATTGTAACTAGAAAGGGAAATCATAGTTTCTGTGAAAAACTTATAAATCACGTTGGTGACATGACATGGAAACAACACTCATAGTATAGTTTATTTTAGTATTGCAATGAAATCAAGTGTATTCTCATTGGCTTCCATTCAAATGTAAATTTGAAAATTTCAATTACATCTTCATAATGTCTTTTAGGTAAATAGATAATATCATCAACAAAGTCATATCCTTCTTTTGAGTAAGGATGCAATTCACAGTTACCTTGAAATTTAAGTTTGGCTTCACCCCTCCATCTATTCCTGTAATAATAAATTATATGTTTATACATATAAAAAGCATAATTTTAACTAAGGAGTCATGTCAATGTACCTTGTAGGATATACACATAATTAATTATTAGGCTGATAAGTTCAACTATCAATAATCAAGAATAAAACTTCTATAACGTTACCTTCGTTTAATAAAGAAAATAATTACACTAGCCAAAAAGAATTATTAATATAAGTGATGCCTTTCTCAATTTCTAGTGACAAAGTTGGGACATAAGCTCTAGCATATGAACATCCAGTAATGTAAAGTGGATTAGACAAGAACTCAGGGTACTCGTGAAACCACTGCATCATAAAACTGTAAGTGAACATCAGAAACAATTTTTAATTAGGTCCTTTAGCAAAGTATAAGTTGGCTGACCTTGAAAACAAAGTCATATAGATCTGCTATAGTATTGGAATCATCAGTTTGGTAATCCTCACTATTATCAGAATATGAGAATCCAGTACCAACAGGTGCATCCATAACAACAAGGCTAGACACCTACAATGCAGAGGAATTTGAAAGAGGAAATTCACTCTTACATTCATATTGTATCCATTCACATGCTAAAAGTCATCTGCTCAATAAGTCATACTGAAGAGAGTGCAATTGAAGCTCATCATCCTCACATTCCATATATTGGCAAGTTTGAAGAGTAGATATAAAACATGTCACATTTGAAAGCTAGAAGGTATGGAAATTTTGTTATGATCCAACCTGGAAAAGCATAGGTGAAGCCACTTGATGAATATTACCTTGGTCCAATGGAAAGGATTGAGTTCTACTTTCACACCATTGATGATATAATCCGGATCTTCCTCAATCTTGAAAGGCACTGAAATACAATATAGAAACACTTTATATAAGACGTCAAGCTTATATTATAAATTGCACCTCAAAAATCTACCCAAAAGGTGTTTCAATACTAGAAAATCTTCAAATTGAGCATCTCAACCTCAAGTTGTATGGATATGAAATAGAAAAGGATTTCAAGTCCTCATAGGGGTTTTAAGTACCAATACTACACTTTTAGCAAGATTTAGAAGTACGCATGTTTATGGTTGACACCTTATATATACCGCACCCATCAAATAAACTTATAGTTTGTAAACTAAGATTCTAACCATGAAGCAAATAAAAAACTCCCCTCCAAATAAACTGACAATTAAATATAAAAGAAACCCTATTTCCATAGTAATTTTTCAAATTTAATATTAATGTTCACATAATTTCTTTAAATCCAATTTGTGTTTGAATGATGAAGAAATTAAATGCTTTTACCATTTTGCGAGAAATCCCCATGTTTCTTTCTTATTAAGTGAACTAGTGTCAAAATGATTTGACATTGTTACTGAAGTAAGCAAATGGCTTTAAGACATTGTTGCAACACACATGATGTGGTTTACAAAGCTTACATACACATTTCACAATAACTCGCCAAATAGTTAAATGGCTTGAACATCAGTTTGATATTTACAGTAAAAATACCATAGTTCGAAGATTTAAGTTCATTCTAAGATCAAGATTCCAACTAGATTCTAACCTCTTGTTGCTGAAGATCGACACTAAGAAGGAAGTTGTGAATACAATGACAAAGTTGCTTATACTACTAAATTTGAGCTATTTTTGGACTTGATTAATGTCTTTCCAAGATGAGTGTCCTTTTTTCCTTTTGGGGGTGGGGTATTGGGGCTTGTGAAAAAGGTGGTAGAAGCGAATCAATTTTGTGTACTTGATGGAATTCAATTAAATGTGGACATTTGTTTGGTCATCTTGCATTTAAAGAAGCCCTATAAAGGATGTTAGGTTTCTATCTTATAGTTATTAGATTTCCTATTTTATAGAGAAGTGAATCCTAAGTTTCTTAAAATTCTTGCCTATTTTTATGGGGATATAATCCCTTGGTTATATGAATGATTATCTTCACATAATTATCTAACGAAAGGGTAGGGCATGGGGGATTCTATCTATCTCTTGTAATGAAAGACAGAGAGGAGTCCATGTGATTCTGTCTACACGGTTTGTGTCTTTTTATGAATAGTTGTTTTAGGAAGCCTGTGCAAGGTGTAGAGAGAATATGCAGAGTGCTAACTATAAGATTGAGCTTGAGTTCCCTGGTTCTCTTAGAGCTTCCATGCAAAATAGGCATGTCATGGCTTTGTTACCATTTATCAACCTTTGGACGCATAGTGCTAGCAGCTTCCATGCAAAATAGGCATGTCATGGCTTTGTTACCATTTATCAACCTTTGGACGCATAGTGCTAGCTGTGCTACAATGCCAAGAGTCAAATTACCAAACATGAATTAGTCGTGGGCACAGATCTTTCCTTGTAATGCATATCTTCTTCCTCCTCCTTAAATCTTATTTTGTGAATGGTAAACATTTGTAGATTGGGTTCTTATCGAGAATTTCCTTTTAGTTCCCATATAATTTTTTTATTTTCCTAGCAAGGTCTACGGAAATTTTAACTTTATCTACCATTCCACATGTCTCTTCCATTCCAATTTTAAATTGATCTTTACTCGTCTTCCTCATTCTTAGGGGAGGAGCAATGTCCTATTACCTTCTCTTTCAACAATTAAAATCTAGAGATACTATCTAAGAGTTCATGCTTGAAGTTGAGTGGTTAATGTTTTAATGATTGAATATATTCAAATCCTATCATTGAACTACCACGTGAAAAGCGAAAAAAAGCAAAAAGGAATATGTGCTAACTTATGCATCTATATACTACATTATTAAGCAAAAAGCAAGGGATGGACACATGTCGCGAAAATAAAAATATAATCTATCTCTAGGGAGACGGTTAGAGTACATAAACTCCTAAAAATAATGTGTGGAAATTATAATGATTATTAATATTGGAAATTATTTTAAAATTAAAAATCATGATTGATATAAATATTATTAATGATACTAATAATAGAATTGTATTATTGTAATGAATATTATAACAATTACACAAATAAGTGGAATTCTAATTATAATATAATCTTTTGATTAGATGATGATGGTGATGATGATAATAGTAATAATGAAATGATAATAAAATTACTACTAAAATTATAATAAACTTAAAATATATTATTGCTATTATTATTATGTGAACAATTTTAGTCGATGATATAATAAAATAATGAACGTAGTAATTTATAATAATAACAGTTATCTAAATTTAATTAGATGATTATATGAATTTTAAGTATTGTTATAATTGAATTATTATAAACTTAAAATGTTTATATACAATATTATTGTTATTATTGCATGAATAATTTTAGTTATTAATATAATTGTAAAATAATGAACATATTGAATCATAATAATAACAATTCTTGAAATTTAATTGGACTATTATATGAATACTAAATATTGTTATAATTTAATTAACTATGATATCAAAATTTTCTTTCTTTTACTTCATTTTTATATAAAATGCTGTTTGTTATCTTTAAATAACCTAAACAATTTAATCATTTCGCTAAGCATATTTGCAATATTTAATTACATACCATAACATATTCTCATTCATATTATTTCTCATACTATTTCTACCACTATCAGTTAAAAAACCTTTTAATGAGACCGGCACATGCACCTACTAGTCAAAACACACTCAAGGATGTCGATATAAATTATTTCACATGCTATAGACAGGATTTGTGTGTTGAGATGGGATTATTTTTTTATGGTACTTCATGTCATTGTATATGAGATGTCATTTTGACCTTCAACAACATTCATGAATCATGAATATAAGACTACAATAATTAGTTGAAAGGGCCATGAAAAGTTTGCAAATTCTTCATATAATGAAACTGCACAATGATGAAGAGTGGACTTCTTAGGAGTAAATTACAAGTAGTAAATGTAATCTAGAAATACCTACCATGAAAGTATATAATGGCATTCATTCCTGAACAACCAGGACCGCCAGTAGCCCAGAATACAATTGGATCTTCTGTAGGACTGCGTTCTGAAGTAGCAAAATAGTAATACATGTGCCTTCCAATCCCTTCATTACCTAAAGTGATGTAACCGTAATCTTAGAAACATTAGCATGTAATATACTTCGCAAACTTCTCTCCATAAGTACAAGAAATAATACTATAAATATAAAAAATTGAAAACTATATATCCTAGAAAGAAATACGTTTAGGTTATGCCATCTTTTTCATGTTTTTGACTTCTTCATTGACAAACATATATGCCTTATTTTCTATATTTATTGAATATTCCCAAAGTGGTGTAAAACTAATTTTTTAGTCCTAAGATTTAAAAAAAACGGAAATCTATTTTTTACCCCTCATGTGTTTTCGAAATGCGAGATACATTAGGTATCATTTTGATAAGCTCTAATTGTAGGCTATGCTCGTCTTCGAATTTTTATCGTGCCTTGTAGGCAAAAGCTTTCCTTTTCCTATCTATTTTTTTTCTTTTCTTTTCTTTTCTTTTTTGTCTTTTTCGTTTGAGGTGTTAATGGTGGGACTGGAGCATGAGGATGATATGTTGAGGCACCTATGTCCCTAACCGCCAATCCCCCAATCCCGATCCCAAGAAATGAGAATTATGGTTTCATAGAGGTGGCGAGAATAACAAGCCCATGGTTCCTTACTTCCCTTTCTATTTTCTTTCAAATATTTGGGGCTGGCTTTTCAAATATTTCTAGTTTAGGGATGGTTCTGAAAAACAATATTAAATTCAAAATTAAACCCATATTTTATTTAGTATTTTATCCAACTTTGTCTTAGAACTTTGGAGTGATTCTTTAGAGTCAAAAGGTTTCCAGACAAAGATATAGCATATGAAATTTAAGTTGAGTAATATTAAGAGTAGAAACAAGGAATTAGTTAAGTTTGATGGCCAAAGAGTACTTAAAATAGATTATTGTCAATATTTAGAGTCAATAATCCATTAGAATAGAGAGATTGAGGAAGATGTTGCACATAGAATTTGAGCTCGGTGGATGAATTGGAGATGTTCTTTCGAAATCTTTTGTGATCATTGAATACTAAAAAAGATGAAGGGGAAGTTTTACCTGATACCTCTAAGACCTTCCATGCTTTATGGGATGGAATACGGGGCGGTCAAGAAACAATATATCCATAGACTGAGTGTAGTTGTAATGATGATATTGAAATGCATGAGTGGCAAGACAAGCATAAGTACATCAGAAGGAACTTAGAGTTAGCCCCAATAAATGATCAAATGAGGGCAATTAGATTTGTCTTGCCATATGTAGTGTCAACTTAGAACAACACTAATTAGGAGGGGTGATTTGGTTCAAGTGGAGGCTCTAAATGGGCAAAGGGAAGACCCTAAAAGACAGGGATATAAATAGTAAGAAATGACATAGTGATTTATAGTTTAACTGGAGGGATGGCCATTGATAAAGCATAATAATGAAACGATGATTCATGTAGCCAACCCCAAATAGTTAGAAAAAAACTCTAGTGATGATGATCATGATTTTTTTTAACTTTGCAATATGCACAAGGTGGTTCCCAAAGACTAAATTTCAAGTCTAAATTAAACTCTCATAATCTTTATATTTTGTAATCTTTTATAAATGAATACAAACCCAATCGAGTTTTTTGACCTGCTCCGTGTCATGAGGAAACTCAATACACTTGGTCGGGTCTATTAAGTTGGGCCGCAGTTGAATATTACATCTATATTTGCAACCTGACCCGGTTTTGACCAGTATTACCTCGACATTCCTAATTGAGATTTATGTTGATGTCCTCTGCACTTGTCCATACGTGTCGGGTGATGTGATCAGTTTAGTATGTTGTCGACATAATAACTTACATGCGTACATCACAAATTATATAGAGTTGTGTGGTAAAGCTGAAGTTGGTCTATAGTCCATGGTAACAACCTTTTAACAAACTTATGGTTCATGTGCATCTCCTTCTAAATGCAATCTCCATGAGAAGATCTATCTTGGAGATGAATATTGGATTGAAAATTTCATAGGTTGATAATATTAATTATGGCCCATGAATATAAAAAAAAAGGGAATAATAAAATTTATTTTGAACTATATTTTGGACAGTTCCTTTTAATTCTTCCAGATAACAAAATTGATAATATTCTTTTTAGGGGAAAGGTTTATATACTTCTCCTACAGCATAGAAGTTCTATCCCCCCTTATCATCCAGCCGTCCAATTTTGATCAAGAGAGCCACTCACCATTTGATATTAGATCTGATGTCTCAAAGTTTTTTTTTTTTAGTTTTTTTTTATACAAATTGTATGAATATGAGATTTGGTATGTGCTATCTTCTCTTTGGGGCTAATTTATAAAATAATATTTCGATAAAATATAATGATCAAATTACCCTTGAAAGTTTTAAAGGTATTTTGGTCATTTTATCAATTGAATTTTTTTTTTTTTCCTGCTATTGCGAGTTTAATAGAGGAATGGACATGCAAAATTTGGTGTCAAAATAGTTTATAGAATAAAATGAAATATAAAATAGTGTAGAGACGTGATATTGTGATTGGAGCAATCTTAGCCCTCCATCCAGAATGGACAGTTGGATAAGGGGAAGTATATAAGTTTTATATTGTAGGGGAAGCATAGAAAGCTTCCCTTTTTGTTCGATCCAGAATCATGGATCCAATGCCAAAACACATTTGGACTTAAGATTCATTTCAGAATGTAAATGATCCTAAATCCATGTCGTACATGGATGTTTTATGCAACCGTACTTCACAAAAGAAAATTCACAAATTTTTGGAAGGGCCATTGCATGTGAATAGGTCAACATTTGAACATTTCCCCAGCAGGCAGAGGTTCAAAACATTTTTATTTTTTTTTTGGGATTGTATATTAGGAGACTATTTATATTTATTACAAGATGGTCACAATTACTCTTAGCTATTAGATGTCAAATTAGATGGGTATGTCACAAAGTTCAGAATTTTCTTTTCTTTAACATTGGATCTAGTCAATGACACTCTTATAACCGTCTAAATATATATATATAGCTTTGGGTCTAGTCAATGACACTCTTATAACCATCCGAGTTGAAATTTGATAGACAAGAGTGATCTCTTCATATACTTTTCCTTTTAGTATTACACTTATGGTGTCGAATGATGCAAACACTGTCACTAGAGTATGCAACCATACTCCATATCAACATTATTCTAAATATTATTGATGCAACAAAATAAGGTCACAAGGATTCTGTGGAGAATCCAAGAGTGGCTTCATACATTGCACTTTCTACTAAGGCTAGCAACGGCCTGGGCTAGCCTCTGGCCCTTGCCCCCAAGCGGAACTGGGCTAAGCTACGAACACATGAATAAAAGAGAAAAAAAAAAACAGAGGGCTGGACCGAACCTAGCCCATGGCCTAGGCCCTACTTTTTAGGGCTAGGCCACCGGACTCATAGCCGGGGCACAACTTCCATCAAATGTATCCTAAAACATGTCCACAAAAATACATAACTCCTAAAACATCTCATGGCCAAGTACAAAACATTAGAATAGAGGAGTTTTATAGCCAGTGTTTTGATGATTACCCACTCTGCATAATGTTTAGAAGGAAATTGGCCATCAAAGCCCGGAAAGCGCGACACCTCCGCACCATCAGGCGCTGTTAACATAGAGTAAAACCATTGGAAAGCGATGATGATGGTGAGCAAAAAGAAGTGTGACGAAAATTGAGATAACTTTGCCATACTTATCTCTTTATTTTTCCCTAAATAGTTTCAACGGACGTTGGATACTTATTAGGAATGTTACTCAATTGGTTCGGGACCCGATCTAGACCTGCATTGGGTCTAGGTTCATCTGGGTCTAGAAAGAGAAATATTAATGAATATAGATCAAGGCCTTGGATGATATGAGTTAATTGGTTGGGTCGCCCTTGGCCAAGACGAGTTACTAAGCCGAGTGTACTCACCTGAGTGGGACAAAACCTATAGATATATTGAAAAGAGAAAACCAAAATTACAAAATAAAATGGAGATATCAAAACTTATATAAAATCAAAGAGAAACATAAAAAACTTCAAATATTAAAAAAGTGTAAAAAAATAGACTAAAACAATTAATTTGTAATTAGGAAGAGTTTAAAAATCCAAAAAAAATAAAATGTAAAAATAAATATTACAACAAAAAACTCATAAATCTTTACCAAAAATTTTAAAATTATATATAATCTTTTATACACGTTATATATAAAAATATTTAAACAACGTTTTTGGGATTTTTTTGAATATTTTATTTCAAATACTTGATAAACACAAATCGAGATAATACGTACTCTCCTGTACTTGCATAGCCTACATCATTTCATACATCATACTCATTTAAAAATACAATCATCCTCCCATACACCCTAGTCTAGTCCATCTAACGTAACCCACTTACGCTCACTCACGCCCAAACCTAGACCCTACCCTCATGTTCGGGCCCACTTTCAAGAGCATTCAAGGGACTATCAAAGGTGTACCACCTAAGGGTCGACATCGAGCGAAGCTAAAGGCTTGAGCCCTCCCCTCTTTTTCTCCCTTTCTCGAGTGGGCCGACCCGAGGCCATCTCTATCTTTCTCACTCACCTCCCTTATTATTATCTCTCCCTTAATTCTCTCACTCCGGAATTTCCCTGTCTCTCTTTTCCCTCTCTCTAATTAATCTCTCTCCCTTGATCTTTTCAATCTCTCTCTATCTCTGTTTTCACGGAATTCTCTGTTTCACAAATCTCTCGTTCCTCTCCACCTCTCCCCCAATTCAGAGTAAACTGTCCCCAAGATCTCACCTTCTCTCTTTCTCCTCACACAGTCACGCTTCTCTTTCCCCCAATCTTTCTCTCTCTCTACCTCCGTTATCATATTCCCTCACCCAATCTTTCTCTCTCTTTCTCTCATCCAATCTCTTCCTCTCCCTCACACAAAACTCTCTTTTATTCTCGATTTCTTTCTCTATCTCCTTCGCAAAACTCTCTCTCTCTCTTATTCTTGGTCTCTCTCTCTCCCTCACAAAAC